GGCAGCTGCCGAGCTCTGGGTACGCTCTTCGGATGCCGGTGATGATGCCAGAGCTTTCCTTCCCGGTGAAATCGAACACGCCTCGCCATGCGCAGTACCCGGAGTACCTGCACATTGGCCGCAAAAACAAGAAACGGTGTCGTCTGTGATGAACTTATAATGTCCTAAAGACGAGCTGATCAACTACTGAAAACGTGAGATTCTTTGTTGCCTCCTAAATTGCTGTCAGATCATAAGTGTCGAAGAGATTTGTAACTCACCTGAGCTTGAGGTCAGGGAGGAAGCGCCGGCGGATCGACGACGTGCAGCCATCCGCCGCGACCAGCAAATCCCCGGCGACCTCCACCGTTTCACCGGTTCCGAGCAGGCGAGCCGTGGCGACGACCCCGCCGCGTTTGCCACCACCGTCGTCCGAGTCCGACACCTCGAACGAAAGGAACTGGTGGCCCCAGTGCACGGTCACCGCGGCCGGCAGAGCCTCGTGAAGCCGCCGGTGCAGCTCGCTCCAGTGCGCCGCGCGGAAGTCGAACCCCTCGTCCCTCGTCAGCGTCCGCGCCGCCTTCGTCTCGCTGTCCGTTGCCCTGTTCTGCGATTGCGGCACAACAGGGGTGCTCAACCCATGCCCACACCGCAAGGAACGCAACGAAGAAGCAAAGCTTGCGATTTGCCGGGAGGACGGACGGGCTTACCAGGTCGACGGCGAGCGGCAGCGTGGCCGCGTCGAGACCCCACCCAGGGATCCAGCGGGCGAGGGTCTCCATAGACTGCGCGTCCAGGCCCAGCCCGGCGCCCGTGCCGCCTCCGGCCGCCGGGCCCGCCGCCTTCTCCAGCACCACCGCCTTCCACCCCGCCGCCGCCACCGCGTGCGCGCAGGCCAGGCCGGCCACGCTCCCTCCCACCACGACGGCCACCCGCCCACCCATCTCAGGAGCCATCGCTTCTCCCAACTCCGCGAGGGCCTCTTATCGCTCACTGCTATCTCTACACGGCACCTGGCTAAAAGTGTAGTATTCCATCTTGGCCGGCCCGCGCGCGCCTCCACGCGTCCCGCGTCGCCGCCACACGCCCAGGATGGCGACGGCGCGCCGCCGCGGCATGCCGCTGCGCGAGTGCAACCTGCTGATCAGGACCCTGGCGAGGCGCGGCAGCCACGCCGATGTCATGGCGGTCTACTACGACCTCCGCGGACGCGGTCTCGTGGCGGACAGCTTCACCTACCCGTTCGTGCTCAGGGCCATCGGGGTCCTCAAGGTACCCGTCGAGGGGCGCAAGGCGCACGCGGCGGCCCTCAAGACCGGTTTCCGGTGGGATGCCTACACCGCGAGCTCGCTCATGGACATGTACACGACGGTGGACCGTCCGGAAGTCGCGCGGAAGGTGTTCGACGAAATGCCGCAGAGGGCGCTGGTCGTGTGGAATATGATGATCAGGTGCTATGTCAGGAGTGGCCGAAACACAGACGCGGTTGCTTTGGCTGAGGAGATGGAAAGGGGCGGCCTCACACCCGACAGGGTGACGTTGCTGACCGCACTCACCGCCTGCTCCAGAGCCGGTGACCTGAGCTTAGGAAGGAGAATTCATGCCTACATGGATGGAGTCACTGGGTTCAGCCTCCCAGTTGCAAATGCACTGCTGGACATGTACACGAAGAATGCTTGCTTGGAAGAGGCAGTGAAGCTGTTCGAACAGATGCCAGTGAGGAACATCATTTCCTGGACCATACTTGTGTCGGGATATGCCTTGGCCGGACAGGTGGAAAAGGCGAGATTACTCTTCCACCAATGCACAGAGAAGGATCTAATCATGTGGACTGCTATGATCAACGCGTATGCGCAACATGGATGCTTCGTGGAGGCATTGTCGTTGTTTCGAGACATGCTGATGCATCAAGTTGAGCCAGACAGGTTCACTGTTGTCACTCTCCTGACATGCTGTGCCAATCTTGGCGCGCTCGATCAAGGTGAGTGGATCCACCAGCTTGCTGAAGGTAAGAAGATGAAGCTTGATGCAGTTCTTGGCACCGCATTGATCGACATGTATGCCAAGTGTGGGCATGTAGAGAAGTCAGTGGAGGTCTTTGAACGAATGGAAGGCAGAGACACTACGGCCTGGACAGCCATTATCTGCGGCCTGGCCACAAATGGTCAGGCAAGTAGAGCCCTCGAATTGTTTGAGGATATGGAGAGAAGCAGCGCTAGGCCTGACAGCGTTACCTTCATTGGGGTGCTGAGCGCATGTTGCCATGGTGGCTTGGTTGATGAAGGGCGGAAACAGTTTCGTGCTATGAAGGAGGTTTATCGGATACGACCAAGAGTTGAACATTATGGTTGCCTTGTCAATCTTTTAGGTCGTGCTGGTCAACTTGATGAAGCTGAGAAGTTGATCAAGGGTATACCAATTGACAAGGACGCTATGCCGCTGTTTGGTGCACTCCTCACTGCTTGCAAGGCTCAAGGCAATGTCGAGATGAGCGAAAGGCTGACCAAGCGAATAGGCAAGCGAGGCTACCAAATTCCTGATGTGGATTTGCTCATGTCTAATGTGTATGCAACTGCAAGTCGATGGGAGGATGTAGTAAGAGTAAGGAGCAAGATCGCACACCCCAGTGTCAAGAAAAATGCAGGGCGCAGCTTGATCGAGGTGAAGGGATACTGAAGATGGCAGTTAGCACTTGCACATCTAGTGCTTCAACATAGGAATGGCTAAAACATCCATTAGTCTGAGTAATTTTTCCTAGAGATCCATTGATCTGAGTTGATTGCATTGATATAACCAAAATATTATGGTCAATTTAGCTGCGGTGACTCGGTTCGTTAACAATTAAAAAGGTGCTCAAAATTCCACCTGTTTTTACCTCCTTGAGACCCCGGGACTAAAATTTTCAGAACAGAGGTGTTGAAATGCATTGTCTTCTGCAGTTGGTTGATTTGATCCTTGATAACGATCAGTACTTATTTTCAGGAACCGATCACAGGTATGATCCACAGTTTACTTGGTGGAGCTTGTTTCTTCCTATTGCTTTGTTTGCGAGCCATCTCTTCTATCTGTTATTAATTTGTTTGAACATTTTCAGCGAGACTTGTGAAATTACTATTTATTTAACTCCTGCAATGAAATGACATACATTTCTGGAAACGAAGAAATCAAGGTTAGTTACCAAGCCAATGGTATCTTTCATCTATTTCTGTTGCAGATGAATATACCTATGGGCTAATATGCACCTTGACACTATCGATAATGCACCAAATTCTAGTGTGACCATTTGTAATCTTATGATGAGACCGTATGACTTTGGTCGTTTAATCGACTAGCTAATACTTGGCTTGCACTTGTTGATGGATTTCAGCCTGAACTGACCGACACCCAGAATTTCATTGACCCTAATGCAGTACATTATCTTCAGAACGTTGTTCAGGAGATCACATAAGTTGGCTGCCTCCCAACATCTTGAAAATATCTCTTGTAAGTTCATCCGCTAGTTACAAAATATCAATTCAAGCCACTGTTTGGGTTCAGTGAATTAACTAAACAAGAATTCAGTTTACCACATGAGGCAAAAATCAAGGCTTGTAGCCGGTGACAATATAGCAGTTTTCTGGCTGTATTTGCATTTTCAGTTGCGTTCATTTCATAGTTTTGGTGCTACTTGTGGAAGAAAATCAGAATGACACACTATAAACTGATAAGCTTTCTTTCTCACGGAGGTAACCTGCTAGTACTGCCTATTACCTTCATTTTGTGTGGATATTTCAGCTACGCATAACCTTAATTATGAGTACAAAAAAGAAAGCCCCGTTAAGTCCGTTGATAACATCTAGGACATATTATGGTTCCAGCCCTAAAAATAGCAGTACAGATAGGCATAAAAAGGTTCTTAATATTTTTTGAAAATATGATGCAAAACCAACCTATCATATCATAGAATTTCACATCTATGAAAAGGAAACTTGGAGTAGCCCAGAAGGTACTATATGATAAATAAAAACCAGAAGGTACTATTAACTGAAATTATCGTTATACTCCTACATCTCATTGTTCAGAATAATATTTTCAGGTTACTTTATTACATCATACCTTATCAAACAAAGAAAAAATCATGTTTTTTCATGATCACTAGCGCTGCTATTTCGACGTTGGAGTACAGTTCCACCTTAGGCTAGTATCGCTAGATATGTTCTTGTTCCAGGGGAAATACCCTTTGGCTCTCGCATGTATATACACCCTATATGGGATATTTTTTAAAAATAATTAAACAAAAAGTCAAAATAGTTCAAAAGTATTTTTAGATTAAACTTGACTTATTTGCGCACTAGTATATAAGTTTTCACCAAAAAAGAACCAACGTTGACTTCACAGCAAAAAAGACAAAATTTATTTGCTATTATAGGTCACTATTCACGATATTTTGACCGAAAATTTGTCTTTTTCAAAAAGAAGTCAAAGAGGAATTTTCCTTTTGTGAAACTTTTCTCACTAGTACAATGAAGGTCAAGTTTATTTCAAAAATATTGTCAGAGATTTTTGACTTTTTATTGAATTGCTAAAAAAAATCCATATAGGGTACATATGTACCCAAGAACCAAACGTTCCCCTCCCTTGTTCCAGTCCATTTCAAACTCCAGCTTTGGAGAAGTGTAGTAGCTCCAACTTACATCTATACTCTTTGATTATGTTCTATTGAGATCTTTCGTATTATTGTCATGGGAAAGCATCAGAGCAGTTATATCAGATGCACTGGCCAGAAGCATGCAAGTCAGTTATGCTGGTGAGTTTAAACATTGCTGCTCAGGAACTGGATGACATCTGACCCAAGCAAGAACTACTATTATACATGCTTTCTGAATACTTTACAGAGGTAGTCGAGAGATTCTTCAGGGGTCCAAAATGCAGAAATGATCTTCTCTTCTCTTCCTTTCCGGGAGAAAGCTAACCTAACCCTCTAGTGCTAAATTCTACAGTGTTAGGCACATATCTGTGAGTAGTTAAAACTAGTCCCTCTGTCAACAGTAGAACATCACCCTCTTCACCTTCTCTTTCACAGCGGGCAAAGGCTTCACCGAGGTACCATTCGTCCCACTGGAGCTCTTCGACGTGTGGTTCTCCGACAGCTCCGGCTCCATGTAGAACCGCGCCCGGAACGCAGCCAGATGCGCGTAATACGCAGGTGGGACTGTTGGAGCAGCAAAGACAAAGACACCATGGTTCAGATTTGCGACATACGTAGGTACGAGAACTTACAATGTTTGCAGATAAACAGAGAAGCTGAAGAATGCTTCGGTTACCACGGAAGAACATACCGACGGAAACGGAGCGCGTGCACCGTGCGTAACTGCAAAATCAGCATAACAGAATCAGATCAGTCACTTCTTAGAAGATCCAGGTGTGAAGAGCAAGAGACAAAACATAACACAAAGCAGTCATCATGCCGTACGTGTAGCAAAGGTTGTTTGTCAACGTCTGCATTTCGTCTGCCGAGAAGTTGTTCTCATCCCAGAGGACATGGTAGTGAGCTGGCCTACTTGTTCCCTGGTAACAGAACTCACACATCAGTCATTTCATCAAATCACAAGAGGGTGGAGAATCTGGGGTAAAATATTCCCATACTTCTAGTACAACACTTTTGCAGGTACAGTACAATCTTTTCCAAAAGAAGTGGAAGTTTTCATGTGTTTGTACATTCACATGATCTAAATTTTTTGGCATACTGTCAGTTAGTTTATTCTTTTTACCATGTCTCCTCTGCTAGGTACTAGCTAGGCGCAGTGAGAGCTTTGTTGAAAAGAGAACACCAAGTCTATTCAAATGCTTGACCACAAGGCACGGGACCCGAGCAACGACAAATTCAGTGTATGTCAGCCTTCAGCAAGGGACCAGTACAATATTCTTACCTGGATTCCAGCGTGACTACAGAGGTAGAAATCAAACTCCGTTGGGTGGCATATCTTCGAATCAACAACAGTTCCTGTAATTTTTGCAAGCAATTAGTCCTTGTATTATTACCAAGACAATGGAATCACATATTACATACAGTATGCTATACCGGAAAAAATACAGTATCCTACAATGAGCATACCCAAATTTCCTTTCTGAAAATATTTAGCTTACCCAAATTGTGTTTTAATAGTTTCAATAATAGCATGAAAAAAATGGTATCATATAAAAAAACAGTTAAATACTAAAAAGTTCACAATATGTTAGTGGACGTAATAATGTGCACTACATCCCATGGCTTCAAACATATAGAGGCCATGACTAGATGATTACCAGGTAAAATATTTCCACTTTTGTCCATGCTACTTCTGTCTTTGTGATTGTTTGCAAACAGTCTTGTATGGTGACGCTTTTGAACCACCACAAACGTTACAGGAGGTTGGTAATTTGGTTCTAGGGACGCACAAGCCTAGAAGAAAGCATTTGTTAGAAAATGTCTGAAGTGGTTAGAAGATCTACATTAGAAAACACAAGTGTATCCTACCTTACGGATAGCATCCAACTCATAAAGGAGAACTTGGTAGAATTGGCCTTCACTAACGCCATCCCTGGATGAAAGATGGTGTTAAAAAAATTGCGGGGAAGATATAGTGTTAATTTATAGAATTACCAGATAAGCTAGTTTAATTGCCACATAAAAAGGCCTTGAAATGTTCTTTTTACTCCGCTCTACAAAAGATGCCAAACCTAAACATTATTGTGTTTGACTATCTATTATCTTATAGCATTTTCACTAGCTCACCGATAGAAAATTATCCTCAATGGTTTCTGTCCCGTGGCCTTCCTGAATGATATTAAGAGTTCCCTGCACAGCAAAATAAACACATCAAGTATCTCATTGAAAAAGTTATTTTACTAGTTTTCAAGAAGTGTTCCTTGATAAATACCTGACCATGCCTCCTGTTACGGTGCCTCTCTGAGGATCATGCCATGTTTTGTAAAGGTCCTGAATGAGCTCTTGTCGGTGTGCCTGCGCACACACCAATCCAGCATATTTTGTAACTTCCGGCCAGTCTTGAGAAGCCACAACCTGCAAGCAGCTAATTAGAAAAGGGCCAAATAATATATGTATGTATGGAGAGTGATGTGGAATAAGAAGAACAGGTCTCTAAGACTTACTGCAGCAATGGATGGACTAGAGTCCTCCCCAGTTTCAGGATGTGTTACATCTGCACCAAATATAATAGTTGGTATGTCACTGACCAACGGAATCCTCCAACTTAGCGCATCCACGAGCACGGTGTTTCTTCCTCCCATCTGAATTTAATCATATCAACATGTCATAAATTAGCATGGTAGCAAATTACTAGATTATTGGTCTACAGTATGTTTGTTGTAAATAAGGTGATAAAGTTAGTACCTTAACATTGATTTTTAGTGAGACATTTGCCAAATATTGCTTGCTGATCTTAAAAACATGTTTCGTTAAGCAACATTGTGATATCAAGCCCAAATCGGTTTCGCAGATACGCTTGATGTCACCTGCAAAAATAGAGTTTATGATTCAAACCAATATAAGAGAATTCAGAAGAAATGAGAATACACGGGGTAATTAGCATGATTGGCACTTACCATATAAAGCTCCATTATTGTCTGGGAGGATGGCCAAAAGAAGTTCAAGTTCTTTACCCTTGAGTTTGTGTAGTGCAACATTATACACATGCTTTAGTGCCTTCGCTACTTGATCTGGTCTAGCTGAATATATTGGAAGCACAGGTTCACTGTTGAATTCCTGCAATAACAGCAGAGATCAAACTAAACAACATGCTACGCATGAAAGTTTACAATGGCCTCTCGGCCATGTCAAAAAAAAAAAAATCAGAAATGAGGGTTACACTACCATGCCCGAAATTTGACACATTTGTGCCAACTCTTGGCAGAATCCGCGTGCAGTGGTTTCTTGAACACTCCTTGAGAAGTTTATACAAGCCCAGTGACTTACCTTGCCCCCATTGATCACTTTCTGAAAAAGTTGAGTTTATTTTAGTTGTAAACAAAGTGTGATCCGCACCATGATAAATAGGACATGAGGCGTGCAACTACTGCAGAAATAGAATCTAACCTTGTTCACCATGTTCCATTGACCAACCTGTGGCAGGCACTCCTTTTCCTTTCCAGCATCATGATATTTCAGCTGTACTCCACAAAAAACCATGTCCGCATTATTAGCAAAGAGTATCAGCTAACTATAGACAAGAATAACACTGTACGATCATAATTGTACCCAAGGTGCAGGAAGGACCCGCGCTTCAACGGATGTTAGCTTCTCACTTATGTTGATCCCAAATTCCTTTGCGTAAGGATCTTGGTCATATCCGTTTTGATGAACTGTCTGAAAACAAATTCATTTAGACATCTGAGCTCTATTTACCAACAGCATTGATCAGCAAAATTCTTCCATGAAGAAAAACCCTAGTACTAGCATGTATTGCATGGGAAGTTTGGACCACAGGCAAATAAAAACAAGCACTTAAGGATAGGACAATTAATGAGCATGAGCATGCTGCATGCATGTGTGGCAATGCACAGGACTTGTTTTAACAAGACCATCAGCTTCGTTGGAACAAAAACCTAGCACATCTAACCCTACCCAACATGTAAATGTATATGCAGTTATTCATGTGATTAGGAGAAAACTCTGGACCTGTAGAATATCCATTTCCTTTTCTCTAGGCCTTTGGCATGTAACCTTTAGCAGTGATGTGATCTGCTTTTCATTCAACCTCTTTGTGTATCTCTGACCCTCAACAATCTTGCAGGCCTGGTAAGAAAAGTCAAAAAACACAATCGACCGATGTAACACTGATACTAACATTACAATTCGTACCGAGGAAGTAAAAAACATTACTCCAATATACAAATTGGCCAGCTAACAGGACTTGCGATTTGCCAAGCTTACCTCCATTGGTAGATAGTTTGCCTTCTTTTGGTTTCCAACCATAAGGCAAGGAAGATGTGATTGCTGAATGGTAAACCCATACATTTCCTTGAAATACTCCACGACGGACTTCATATTCATTTGATCGTCAATTGGGAAACTGTCAAAAGAAGCAAAATCAACCACAGTTGGGCACTTTGTAGCAATCAGGCTCCCATGTATATATAATTAGGCTCACTCTATCTACTGATTAGATCCAATCAATATATTGAAGTACGCGGTTTGAATTTTAAGGTAGGAATCAAGAGGGTGTGCTATTAGGCCTTTGTGCTTGCTGAAAAGCTTGGTGTAGACATCTGCCAAACAATGGCACTTTTTTTTTGTTTTTTTGAAAAGGGGGAATGCCCCGGCCTCTGCATGAACGATGCATACGGCCCTAACCAAACAATGGCACTACATGGGAGCAACGGAATGAAGCACAATCTAAACTTACATGAGTTCATGAGTTGGCTGTGCAGTCACCCCCGAAATGCGGTACTTCCGCCTCACATTTTCCCGGTGAGTAACCTCGACTTTGACGCCCCGCAACGCTTTCTTGATCTGCTTGGCATTTAGGAAAATATCTTCGTTAGGCAACGCGGCACAATCAGAAGGACATGAACGAACCAGCTAACAGTCTGTAACCAATACAGTAGCAAGCAAAGGAATAGCATCTGGCACATGGCCAGTGCAGCAGTAGTATGCCAGATTCCTTGCTCCCCACAGCGACGATTTACCTTAATTCTGTTTGCATCCGACAATGGCCTTGACATGACATCCTTCCCTAGTATCTGGGCCACGAAGTCGATCACCGGCAGCGCCTCGATGAACGCGGTGGACGACATATCTGGCATCAACATCAGTCACCGTGTAAGCGAGCAGCAAGCACAGGGCCAGGGCAGGAGATCACATGCATGGGGGGGCACAAGATGTTCGAGCATCTCATCTCACCGATGTTGAGCGACAGGCCCATCTGTGTCGGCCGGAGGCTCTGGTAGAAGCCGCACCACGACTGCAGGCCGTCGCCGAGCCGCTGCGGCTTCCTTATGTCCGGCGAGTAGAACGACCGCCCTATCGCCACGTGCCTGCCATTGCACAGGAGACGCCATCAGCTCAGCTCCATCCAATAAGCTTGAATGAAGTTGCAATGGATGATGCGTGCTGTGCGTCCTAATTTGAATGCAGGCGCCGAGTGAGTGAATACCTCTGGCTGGCGAGCTCCCGGAGGACGATGTCGAGGACCTGGACGGCCTCCTGCGGCGCGTCGGCCTGCCGGCCGGCGATGAACTGCCGGAGGTGGTGGAGGTCGGCGCGCGCGGCGAACTTGATGGCGACCCTGTACTCCCTCTCGCTGCAGCACCGTCGTCGACCAGGCAAGTAGCAAGACATGAGTTGGCTGCCATCAAGAAGGAGGGCGTAACAAGAGAAGAAATGCCGAAATGCGGGCGCGTACCGTGGGGGCACGCCGGTGCCGCTGTCGTGGTCGGTGAGGCGGACGACGAACTCGCGCGCGTCGAACGGGAGGGCGCCCGCGGTGTAGAGGCTCTTGCGGCCGTCGTAGGCCGGGAGGCGCATTCCGAGGTCGGACTCCCGGTAGAGGCGCACCAGCTCGGCGATGATTGCCCGGTTCACGCACCGGGAGGTCACCTCCGGCGTGATCTTGACCTGCAAGGACGCCAACAAAGCCAGCATTTTTATTCTTCCATCTCGACCGCGCTCTGGGAGCGGGAACGGCGGGGGGAACGAGCACTTACGTCGTACTGGGTGAGGTCCTTGTCGGGAATCTCGGCGAGGAAGTGGTTGGCCTTGACGACGCAGCGCGCGCCCACGGTCCCGAACCCCGGCCGCCGGCAGAAGGACAGCCCCTTGCCGGGCACGGGCGGGCCAATGACGGCGCGCGTGGCCGCCGCCGCCGCCACCGCCGCCACGGGCCGCGGCTCCTCCGCGGGCCTGGCGCGCCCGCGGCCGCCGCGCCGCTTCCCGCCGCACCTCTTGGCTCCCTCTGGCGGCGGCGGGTGCGGCGGCTCCGCCTTGGGCTGCGCGACGCTGCTCTGCAGCGGCTGCTTCCTCCCACCGCCGCCGCCGCCCCCTCTGGGCTGGCGCCGGGGCTGCTGCTGCGGCGGCGGCGTCATCTCCAGCACCTCCAGCATGTGAGCAAGCGGCTGGCGACGCGCTGGTTACCCGACAAGGCGGTCGCTGGCAGGACCGGAGCGGGCGGCCCCCTGCGCGCCCCCTGCACGGCGCCTTATAATGTGACCACAGTAGCCTGCGCGATCAGCAGCAAGGAGCAAAGCAAGAAGAACCCACCCACTGTAAAAACGAAGGAGAGGAGCGGGGTAAGGAGGGAAGAGAAGAGAGAGGATGGGTTAATGGGGGCGGGCGGGACAGAAAGGCATTAGAACCGGCACGGCACTGATGCGGCAACAGCAGCAGGTTTGACCTCTTGTGGCCGCAGTCGCAGGCACGCAGGCAGGCACGCGTTCCCTTCCGTGATAAATACATCCTCTGCGGTGCGGCGCGCGGCGCTCCAATTAATCCATCCTCCGCCCGGGATGGGGTTTACAAAGGTGGCAGGCGTCGTAGAAAGCAAACGGCGGGGGGCGGGGGGCAAGGAGACGGTAGCATTTATTCGTAGCATGGATATGGGCCGTGTGGATGGATTAATCGGGGCGCGAGATACTCTAGTGGGGAGGTGAGCTTCCGATGGATGGTGGCATCGGAGGAGGAGGTCGGATGATGGGGATTTTCATTGAAAAGTGCATCGCATGTTCGTGCGCCTGGCCGCTAGTGCCTTGTACTCTACTATTATTGTTGTTCATCGCACCCAGGAGCGGAGGTCGTAGACTGTTTGTTTATTTACAAAAGAATGAGGAGCTACTTTGTGTCTTTATTGTTAGTAGTATATAATACTCCCTCCGACTCCTTTTTACTAGTTCACTTTGTGTCTTTATTGAATAATCAATAAAGTGGCCGTATGCATCTTCCAGATGCAGAGGCCGGGGGTCATCCTCTTTTTCTAAAAAGAATGTAATATTTGTCTGAAGTCAAACCTTGTAAACTTTGGCCAAGTTTATAGAAAAAAATATCAACATTTCAAATATGAAATCAACAACATTAGATGCATCATGACATTAGTTTTCATATTATATAAATTTAGCTTTGTAGATGTTGATGTTTTTTCATATAAATATAATCAAGCTTTCTAAAGTTTGACTTCAGACAATTCTTATATGCACGGTAAAAAAGACCGGGAGAGTAAATAATCCTTCAAAAGGAGAGCATGTGTGAGAGCGTGTGCTGCATGATGCGGTGGTGCGCATACTGTAAAAAACTGTGGGCTCTAATCCGTAGTGAATTGCCTGTAAGAGTAGCATTTCTCCTCTCACACTGTACTCCTGGACGTGCTTCTTTCTTACACAGCCCCAACTTTCATATGGTTTTTGCACAGAATACTTGAAAATGGCACCAAATTAACATACGAGCAACATGAATTAACCGAATCGTTTGAAAGCCATACCACTACTACTTGTGGAACGAAATTCCTGTACGGACGTTGGATTAGCAAGGGGTTCTCAGGTTGCTGGTGATGGTCCCGCGAGTGGCACTACCGTAAACCTGACGCTAGGCTGCGCCTTAACAAACAAGGCAACCAGCGCTACTCTACTCTACTACTACTCGTGGTACAAAGCAGCGGCAAACGTCGTCCACCAACAGCCTCGGTGGCCGCGCGTACGCTTTGGCAGCGTGCCGCCCGACAGCAAGGAAGAAGGCGCCCCGCTGTTCCAGAATAGAACCCTCAATCCTCATGGCCCGAACGCATTCTATATTCCTTCATCCGTCTCTGGCACGCGCACGGCCCCAAACACTGCCGCACGACGGCAGCGCCAGCCCAGCCAAGCCGGAGAATGAGCACACATAGGCATGGCCCGGCCTTCGGCGTTCAACGTCGTGGGCGCGGCCACGGCGGCGGGCGACGGCGCGCCGGCCGAGGCGTCGTTCCTGTTCCGCTCCGAGGGAGACAAAGCGGAGCGTTCGACCAGAGGCTACAGGCCGCGCGAGTGGAGGAGGCAGCAGCGGGAGGCAGCGGCTGCGGCACGAACCAACTGGCCCAGTGCCCACCCACCGTACCGCCCCGCGCCAGCCTGCCCCGCCGTCGCCGCTGCCGCTGTGCGTGAGTGGGGTTAATGCCTGTGCCTGCGCGCGCATGGCATGGCATGGCAGCGGCTGCGTGCGCGTGCTGCTTGCTTGCTATACTATTGCGTGCAGAGTTCAGGGCCAGGCCTCTGCGGCCCGGCTGCTGCGGCATGGCCTCGTTAGTGCGTTTTGTTTTGTTTTGGGCCCGTCGCCTCCTCCATTACTTATACTTGCTAGAAAGGCGCCATCATGCCCTTGGTAGGGCAGGGCATGCACTACGTCTACGGCGGCCGGGGCCCTGGAGTTTCTTTTGAGTCGGCCGGAGGGAGGATCGGAACAGATTCCCTGGCCGCCGTCTCCGCGATGGATTTGGATTATGGATGCATCGGCGGGAACGCGTTGGCATCGAGCTATTAGGGGAACTCGTACGGATTGAGCAGCGACATGGCGGCAACTTGGTACAGTACTACTAGACGTTTGGAATGTCTCGTGGAAATCGTTGCACTACTTGTACTACGTGATTAATTAAGGGCAGACACCATCTCGTAATGGCGTTACCCTAATCGAGGTCTAATGCTGAAGCGTCCGTGCCAGATTCCTCGTCACTGTCACGCACCTCTTGCCGCGCAGACTCGTCTCCCTCCTCCTCTGTGGAGGCCTGTTCTGGTCAATAAAGCTGTGCCGCGTCGCACGGAGAGATGCCGGGCATGGCGCAAGGCTGAGGCAGAAACAGAAACAGGAACAGGTGGTGATCGCGCCCACAATCTGCATGGTGCGGCGCCAGATTGTGCGGCGTGGGGACGCCCACTACGGCGTCGCGTCGCTCGATCGGGGCTCGATGGAGGAGTTGACCGGCGGGCGGGAGGAGATGCGATGCAACATCCACGCCGTGCGTACGGAGGTGGTGGGGAGCGGAGAAAAGCCATCATTGACGGTGTGGTGCAGGCAGCGCACCAGGTGTGGTACGCAGCAGTCCTGCCGCCGCTGATGGCGAGGGCAGAGAGAGTTATCATGGCGGCGTTGAAGCTGGGAACGGGCCATGATGCTCGCTCGGCCCTGCATGCACACATGCACACATGCTTTCCCATCCGAGAGACGGAAGGGAGGAAGATTTTTTGGAAGCACCATGGCTAGAGCCTAGAGGAGCGCGCACGTGAATGGCATGCGGGTGCTACTGTGCCATGGTATTATCACGAGAACGGAGATGGCCTCGATCGGTCCGAAGCCGAGGCAAAACGCACGCCAACAGGGATACCAACGAACGACAGAGAGACAGGCCACACGGTGCCGTCCCGATCGCCGGCGTCTTTTGCCCCGGGCGTGGGCGTGGGCGTGGGCGGGACAGCGACGCGGCGTGCGAGCCGCGCCGGAGCCATGCGACCACCAAGCGGCGCGGGGAAAGGCAGCGGATGGAGGCGAGACAGACAGCCCATGCGCTGCGTGCGCGCGCTCCCGGGGTGGAAGGGGTCGCCGTCCGGTCCGGGGCCCCGTCGGCGTGCGCGCTTGGCCGTTCGCCCACGCGGGGGCGCGTACGGGCGTGAACGCCGCAGACACACGGAGGCTGGCGGCACGCGCGCACGCGGGAGGAGCCATGCACGCACGCGCGCGTGGAGTGGGGGGAACGGAAAATGGTCCGGTTTTATGTTTTTGTCCGTCTTTTTCGGAGCAACGGTTTCTTTCACTTGTATAGATATAGACGACTACGGAGTACTTTTTTTCGTGCGCAAGGGGGAATATAGCTCGTGTGTCACTACGAACATATAATTGTGGCGTGCCACCCAGAGAAGCTAGATGAAGATGCCGTTGATTTTTGTGTTAAATAAGTGTGTGTGTGTACAACAGCGGTCGAATTTGTACTAGCATGTCGGCAAAAATATTTGTATTTGTGTCTTTGTTTTGATGTAAATGTCGGTACACCATAAAAAATGTGTTATACGGCTCAGAAAAAAATTATATTGACAACAAGACAAGCAACTATATAGAGATGCCGTGTTTGGTCCAAGATAGACTAGATGAAGCTGATCGCCATGGTCGTGCGATGACAAGAAACATTGTCTAGATTCCTAGCTGGCTCAGTATTCATTCCATGGCTTTTCATTCCCCGGTATAATGTCGATGGGTTCTTTTGCTCACCGCAGATCGATCTCACATGGTGTCGGTCATCTCCAATTTGTCGATAGCCTCGACTAGAGACCCTACTTTTGGTATTATTTTTCAATATGGCACGCAGCATTTGCCTTGTTTGCGTGAAACCTAACATTGAGTGGGTGGTTTTTCCAGACGGGCTTTGCAAAGCAAGCCAGAAAATGCCAGGCTCTGATTCGGCCTAGGACTTGAGAAAATATTATTTTTAATGTTAAATAACTCATTGTCGAGATTAAATGATAGAATCATATTCCTACTTCCATCTATAAATCCTAAAAGCATGTTTCTCGGTTCTTTTCTAGGGTTTCAGACTAGGTTTTAGCCCTAGATAGCGGGATTTGCCCCAGTTTAGTTTCCGCAACATTTTAATATTGCACAGGAAAACGTGTTTGTGTTGTGCATTATGTGTATATGTCAAGAGCATATGCGGTCTTAAAACACATAGCGCAATTCAAGTTCTATCACAAGCCATAAAAATGCCTAAAACACATACATACATGTTTGTTAAAATGTGTTTGCCAAGCGCGTGAATTTTCTTTTAAAAGTCTCAGGCGCATCTTTTGTTCAATTTAGTTCTAGACTGTTTTGCAGAGTGATTTGTGGAGTATCGATGTCATTTTTTTTTATCAAGTTTCATATTTTAAAATTCTCAGCCACTTATTATTATTATTTGGTTGTTTCATGTCTATAAGTTTTGCAGCACTCCTTTGTTCCAATTACCCTTTGGTGGTGGGACACGTAAGCGACCAAAAACTCCCGAAATCTGCAGCTCATCTATCACGCGTCTTGAAATACTTTTATTTTCATCCGAAATTACGTGTCTTAGATTTAAATACATTCGTATCTAGACGAATCTAAGACAAATAATTGA